CGCCTTTCTAGAGAAAATATATGCCTAAGTTTTGGTGGCGTTGATTTCAACTAGGTTGTTGGTTCCCCAGGCTGTAATTTCCGCAAGGTCTGCATTGACAGCTTTGATCTGAACAACGTCGTTAGTTCTAAGTTTCTGGAAGAAAATGATAATTTTAGAAGAGAACATTGTATGGAGAGTACTATCGTCTGCAAACCTGTGGATAGGGCAAGTAGGAACAATGTTGGTGCCAGAATTGATCCTTGCGGAACGCCAGAATTGACGACAATGTTATCAGACGATACTCCGTCCACTATCACATGGAGCGATATAACTGAAAGAAAACTCTATGAAATATGGCACTGCTCAGGTGGTAAGTCGTATGATGGTAGTTGGTGTTGCAGTCCTTGGTGCCAAACACGGTCGAATGCCTTCGATATATCTAACGCTACAGCTAGCGAATCCCTATGTTTTCTAATGGAGATTGCCATATATGGGTAATGTAGGCAAATAGATCTCTTGCCTACATTACGGCAAGTGAATCTCCCGTTGATTTTTGGTGGCGAAAGCGATGTTGTCTATCATTAATGATTCCCAAGCTTTCCTGAAATATGATGAGATCAATGTTGATGTCTTTCTCCATCACATTGAAGATGACTGGTAACAAGACAATTGGCATAAGTTGTTGGGCAGGCTCTTGTTTACTTTTTTTAAGGATTGACTGGACTCCCAACTTGTAGGAGATGGTGAATAGCTTGCAGAGAATTGGTTTCAATAATGGTTCACACTTTTGATAATGGTGGTGGAATTCCATCAGGACCATTGGACTTATTCGTTTTGGAACCGAGCAGAGTGCGTCTGATAGTGAGTTGACGAAATGCAATTTCGGGCAATCGACTTTCAACGGGTCGAATGTCTGGCGTCACTCTTCTCTGGGAATCCAAGGTGGAGGTTGCTGCGAACATATCTGCAAGAATGTTCGCTTCCTTTTGCGATGCTATTGCTAATGTGCTGTCGGTTTTGGAGAGTGGTGGGAATAAACTATCAGTGGAATTCCTTCCGAGAGCTTTAGCGAGGTACCGAATCGAACAGGAGCCATCATGGCAATCCATGAGTTACGATCTTATTTCGGCATTGGTGGATTCCTTCGATGCATCTATTATTTGGCTACAGTTATTTCTTGCTTCTGCTTCAACATATTCTGCTCTGGTCACGAGGTTGGGGTTCTTGCGCCAGCGATGTTAGCTTGGTTGTTTCAAGGCAACAACTCTAGAACAGTTCTTGTTGATCCAAGGTTTCCAAGCTGTTGGTCTTTTCGAAGAATGAGGTAAGGATGTGTCCATTCTAAGCCTGATGATCTTGAATATTTCCGCGGCACACTGTGAAGGGTCCTCAGAATCAAAGCATATTCTCTGTCAGGAAAACTGGGAGAAAAACAGGCGGTGAATATCCCAGTAGTCTCCTATTTATAATAATAATAATAATAATCGCTTTTATTGATAATAAGTATGGAAATAAATACATGGAACATATTTACATAAAAAAAGTTACTCACTATCAAAAGGCAGATTTAGCGTTTACCCATGTGCGAAATGGGTATATACTTTCTTACACTCAACCAGTGAAGGAAAAGAAATAATCAGTGTTTATACAATATCAAAAATGATATGAGAAAATACTATACTGTCAGAATGAGAAAAAGAAGGAGAAAAAAATTATAATATATAAAGAATAGAACTTTATAATAATGAGTTTGACACACAAGAGAGAAAATAACAAAACACCCCTGTCAAGTAATATTAGTATTAGATCACATAGATAGTGGAACTGTACATGGATTATAATAATTTTCAAAATTGTAGTTAGAAAAAAAGGGAAGTTTATAAATGTATATCATCCATTAAAATGAGTTTTTTCATTTTTTTTTTTTTTAATAGTACAATAGAAGTTTTTTTCAGATCATCTGGAACCTTGTTGTATAGCCGTGAAATCATATAGGAAAAGGAGGACTGATAGAGAGTAGTTTTATGCACAGGTGGTGTCAATTTCGACTTGAATAATGCCATACAAGACGTAGGGGTGCTGGAGTACTTGATGGAATGAAGAATAAGCAAGTAGTGGAGATGAGTGTGTGATCAGAATTTCCAAGTGGAGCCCATACATCTATGGTGTAAGGTGCTGAATTATTAGTGGGGAATAAGTCGAGTGTGTTGGTTGATTGATTGTCATCAGGCATTCGTGAAGACTCCTTGATAAGCTGCTCTGAGCCATGAGTGATGGCGAAAGCATATGCTTGTCGCTCAGTTCCATCCGTTTTATTGGAGTGTACGAGCCAAGCAGTGTTGTATATATTGAAATCGCCCATGATGATGATTTCTGCTGCTGGATGGTTCTGCTGAATTAGGTCGAACTTCGAGGACAAAGACTCAAAGAGCTCTTCAAAGGTTGGATCATCTGGTGATGAGTAGGGAGAACAAAATATATTTGGTCTGTTTCTAGCTATCGAGTTTGAACCACATAACGTCTAACTAATTTGGTTCCATAGTTTTTTTCTCGATGACATGAGAGATTTGTTTCAGAATAGAGGCAGAGATTTTTATCCAACCTGGAACGTGTGTGGATTTACAACAACACAGAAAATATTAGCACATTCGTAATCTGTTTTTTTTTTTCTCAAAAGAAGGAAGGAATGCCCGAAGTCGTCTCCACAAATATCCAATGATGTTGTTATAAATACTGCATACCCAATTTTGTTACATGCAATTTGATATATTCTACATTCTCACTCCACTTTGAGCAATATGGACTTCAACCGAAGCAATAACATACTGTAGGCGGGGGTTGTCGAAGTTGTGTTCTAGATTCATCAGAGAATGAACTACAAAATGAGAATGATAAATAATACTCGAAAAGGTTATCAAAACATATACACACGTTTATTCTTTGAATATGTAACAAATATAAGAAACTCAACTCACCCTATAAGTACACATTATGAAGCTGATATTTCTGGGACCTTAGAGGAAGGGCATCTTCTATTCTGTCCCGAACTCGGACGGTTCGGGCACAGTGGTAAATGATCGAGTCAATGAATGATCTATGATCGAATCAAATTATCGCATTGACCGAATAATTGAATGATACCTGTGCTGGCTGCTTCATATGTTCAATCTTTATTTTTGAAAACGTGACAGTGAGGAAGTCAGGTGGATATTCCTGGTTCGTCGAAGTCAATGCCATGCCTGTGTTCATGTTCAACAACTAATCGAAAGTTCGTTGTTTATTAATTTTGGAAATAATAAACACAGACGTGACCGTTTAATGACTCCAAACCCTTTATGATTCAAAATGATATTTAAGAAAATAATACTATTCGTGACAATACTTTCTTTGTTGTGTATTTATCAACACACTTTTATCATTTCATTTCCTACTTCTCTTCAATGGGGGAGACCACTGATTTTTTAAAACGACAACATCGTGAACTCTATACTGAAAAACTACCAGCGACTTAATTTTGAATTTTGTCATTCATGCTGAAACGATGAAAAAAATAAATTAGAATATGTCCATTTCAAAACACACCATTCCTGCGCCATTCGAAATTTTGTCAATTCATTGGTGTGACTGGTGCGACGTCCTAGTCCCAACACGCCTATTGTCCTTGAACTGACCAATCACACTGCAACACTGCAGAATGACGAGGTATCAGAGAGAGATAGCTACAGTTCGGGACTAATACGTCACGGCTCCACCATCGTATTTGGCTGTTTGAAATATGCTGATTTCAAAACGATATAGATTCGATTCCATTCAACTTCAACTCATAATATTGATTGTACATCAAACGTAAATCATGATTCGTCGATTGAAAGAGGTTTGCATAGATTTCTTCCCTCAGTGGACTTCCCCATTTGGCTACCTATCAGAGCGTGTTATTGTTCAGTTTTTCAGACTACAATATGAGTTATGGTAACAAAAAATGAAATAAAAACTCTCCAAGTCGTCTCTACAACATTCAATTCTGAATTCAAGAAATTTTGAGATAAATGCTTCATTGAAGGATGGAAATGTGTTATCTCTCAACGAACAAACTCATTTTGATCGTCAAAGATTGTTCAATTCCTTATGATTCCAAATTTTCTCTATAATTGATTCCCTACTTTGGTCTCCAAACCTAAATTCTAAATTCTATTGTTGATCACAGTTGCGCTACCTTCCATCATTGTATTCCAATTATTTCACCTTGGTCATGGTTCTCAGTCATGGTTATCATAGAACTATCGTTCTTGTCACGCTTCACGGCTGACAGCTGAGGTTTTTGACGTCGGCTGTCGGTTGTGGATTTTGACTTGACAGTCCTGTTCGTTTGTGCTTGCTCTGCCTGCTGAACTTGATTTGTTTCTATTACTTTTTTTGTTTATATCATGCCATGAACAGAGACAACTATTGGAGGGGAATCGACTTTAGCGGGTTCAGCGGTACGAACGAGCAGGCCATCTTTGAGATATGAGATGCTTATAGTAAAAATCGATTGATTTCATCAATATTTTCTATCAATATTATCAGCATGTTTCTGTCGGATTTTTTCAATCATTCTGTGATTGCTTGCTGCTACCGGATGTACGGGGTCGTTGAGCAAATATCTGGGGTACAGGGCCCCAATTTGAATAACGATACCTGTTTACTTCATTTTGAATTTTATTCAAAACTATAAACAAGTTCTAATAACTGTTTCACTATACTAATTATAACCATGTTTTTGCCTTTTTCTACTCCACGTGAGTACCAATTTGTTTTTCTTGATATAACTACTTAGTGTTTCGTTGTTCTTTGTAGGATAATTTCTTTCTGGCTAATGATGGATACCTTTTGGGTCCTGAACGTGCCCCCCTCTTCTTGAATTTAGAATTAAACGTTGTGGAGACGACTTGGACAATTTTAATTATATTTTCACAACTTCACTCCACTTTAAGATTACATGGACTTCTACAGTAGATTGATTTATGGTAGATATTTACCGGCTTGCCTGGCCTCCTTGCACGCCTCGTACATCCCCCGGCGCACCTCAGGGTAGTCGTCGGCGATGGTCTCGCCCACGGTGACGAACCGCTCCACGGCGAAGTTCACGGCCTGTCCGACCCTGGCAACGGCCGACGGACGCAGAGTGGCCGAGGTGCCATGCTGCTCCACCAGCGAGGAGATCTGGAAACAGACCAGACGGATTAACCTTCCAGGAAACGAGCTGTCGTAAAATTTACGACAAACACGCCTAATAACTTTCCACACTTCTATCTTTCAGTCGCGAGTATAGGCGACTGCATAGATAAACTACACTCTTCTAGATGGCCAACGCACATGTTAACTTCTCGTTCCATTTTCGCCATCAGCGCCTCTGGTGTTTGGTGGCGCAACTATTTTGAATAACGGGAATCTTGAATAATTCATGATATTTTCAAATATTTGACCTAAAGAGAAGCTTTCGTAAATATTGGAGGAGATGAAATATCATAGGAACTTTATGGCTGTGTCAAGTCATCCGTTCGATCACAGTGGTGATACCAAGATAGTCAATGGTTGACTCGACTCCCAGCAAAAATAACGTTGTTACTTTGCGGGCAGGTTTGAAACGTGACCGATATTCCCAAACAGCTGGTTGGTCAAACTGATGGTCAGACTTCATACTGAACGTATGTGCCTGGTCAAACCACAGAGTTGACACAGCCTATGCTTTCATCTTCTTCCACAATTCACAAACACTGTGGAATGAGAATGGTCGGTAAATGCATACTTTTTTAAGGAGGTCATACATGGACACCTGTAATGATCACAATGAAATATAACTTAGCAATTATCACAGGATCTTCGAACACTTCATTCTCTGCATAAACCTGGGATTTTCTTTCCTAAAATTTGGAAAACGATGTCAGAAGAGAAATATAGCATCTCACATTCCTTCAATTTTGATTGAAAAGTGATGAATGAATAAAGAAATAGAATAGAATAGAATAGAATAGAATTTTATTTGACCAAGTTACAATTCTCATGTTTTTGGCAAGTCACTGGAAGTACAAAATGTTTTTTAAAAACAATTACAGAATAAAATAAAATATACACCTAAGCTATCACAAACATACATATAACATTCTCACGAATCTAACAAATCTAAAATATAAATTTTGTTGTTTTCGAAATGAAATCAACACAAATTATCGAGAAGTGGGGGTGTTTTCAGATATTCATCAATAGAGTAAAAACAATGGGACAGTATGTGTCTTTTCAGTTTCAATTTGAAGCAGTTATAATTGAGAATCTTGAACTCTTGAGGCAGGAAATTATAGATTCCGATATCCAATGAATTCATTCGGGATTTGTTGATATATATCGGGGAGGCCTCAAGTCGTTTGCCCCACGAGTTTGGTACTCATGAAAATCGGAGTTGACACTCAAAGTTCTTTTATTCTTGTGAATTTCCAGAAGAGTTGAGTAGATAAATAGGGAAGGGACAGGCATAATAGAGAGTTGTTTGAAAATTTGTTGACATGGATCCCTGTAACCTGCACCGGCAATAATTCTTATCGCTCTCTTTTGTATCTTGAAAACTTTACACGAATGAACAGAGTTTCCCCATAACAGTATGCCATAATTTATATGTGTATGAAAGAAAGAAAAGTAACAGGATCGCACAGTACTTTCGCAGAGTTGATTTTTCATGTTGCGCAACAGAAATATTGAAGTGGATAATTTCTGACATAACTGCTCAATATGGGATGACCATGATAGTTTTTCATCGATTACTATTCCTAGAAGCATGACACTCTCTTCCCTGCCCGCAATTCCATTAGCAAAGATCAGTTCTTGGGTTTTGTCATTATTTAATTTAAGGTTGTTTGCATCAAACCAGTTATAAATCGAGAATATAGCACTTTGAAACGGAAAAACCACACTTGTAAACGGGAAAAAATCACAACATTCACAACAAAGAAATGTCAATCGTCATTCGTCAAACAATATATGAACGCCATTTTGAAATCAATGTCTGCGCCTGCGCACTATCACAGATCACGGAGTGGGCAACTGAGATTTACAGTGACTGCACTTAATTCAACGAACTCACTATATAGAAACCCTTTGTGTGATATATTTCTGAATTCAGCTTAAAATGGAGATTCCAAAAATTTAATAATGTATAGGGTGTTTCGAAATAATTGTCGTGGAGTTAATGACTCCAATGTGGATCACCCTGTATATTGAATTTATTCTCAAAAATATGGGAAGAAGATTTCTCATAAATGAACAGTTTGTCTAAAACTGAATGTATTCAGTTCTTCACGAAATCACTGTATATCTATATTTAATAATAAATGAGATATTCCATTAGGACATTGAAAATGGGATATCCTGTACAAACTATTCTGAGTTAATACATCTGTTGAAGTATGAAATAGTGACCCATTTATTTTTGATGTCTGTAAAAGCCAGTACCATGAAATCTCTACTATTACGATAATCTCTCAATTCGTACTGTGACTGCATGAATACAATCCAGTGATTGTACATTGTACCAAGCCCTGTACTTATTATTATCCCAGTGTTACGAGGTGAGAAGGAGCTCCATTAGGGTTTCAGCTGAACTAATCCAATGCTCATAAAGCAAGCTCAATATTTCATGATATATCGAATTTTAATATGGCTTCGAGTCGAAAACACTTAGGAATGAAATAACAGCACGTGGGTCACGTGATGGAAATGTTTGATCATTGATCATTGATCAGTCATGAGTAACATTTCCTTGTATCAAACGAAATTGATTAGTTTCCGTTTCATCGAATAAATACTGTATGTAGGTTCATTACTGGATTATTTTGGATTTTCTCTTCCAATTTTTTATAAAATATTAATATATGTATTATCTCAATATATGTGTAGTGGGACAAATAAGAAGATTTGCCCCAAAATGTCACTGATATAGAGAGAACATGGTATTCACTATTGAAAACTGAACATGAAAATGGTAGATTCAAGATCAATCGATGAAAACATTCTGTAAATCATTTGTATTCATACATATAATATCACTCCGAGTATCACTCACTCATATGTCAACATCAATATGTCACTGAGAAGTGTCAAACAATAGGAGAACAATTTTCAAAGAAGAATATTCTTGCATTTTCATGTTGAGAACGGGAGCAGATTCGTTCCCAAAACGTTCAAAGATGACTGAAAATTCGATTTTTTTCAATATTTCTTCCCAAACAGAGTGTCACTGACAAGCTATTCGATTTTTTTTAGGCAGTGACATTTTGTGGCAATTCATCTGTTTTGTCCTACTACACATAAATATATTGAGGTAAAACTCAAATGAATAATGATAGTCATTTGGTTCAAATGATAAATACCAGGGACATTTTAATTAGGAGTACATTCTAGAAGCATTTATGCTTCTCACTCACTGATAGTATGAGAGCCTTGAAAGAGTATTTATTTGAATTTCCCGCTATTCAAAATGGCGGCCTCTGATTGGCCAGCTGGGTCACGTTGTTTTGGGCAAAATTAAAAGAGTGGGGATAGAGTAACCTGACTCTAACTGCGGGTGTTGTTGTTGTTATCTTTGGGATACAGTCTAAAGCAACAAACAAATTCGAATTCTGGTGGTGGCACGTTCGTTTTATTCTTGAAAACGTTCAGACTGATCGATATCGAACACAAGGTCATGTTCAGAGCATCTGATGGTTTATGAGAACACATAAAATCGAATAATCTAACATTATAAAGTTCAGTGCTACCCATTCATGATGTACGATCTGTTGATTCTTCAATTCCATTTCGAAAATGGTTTTCACAGAACATAGAGATTTTTTATTCGATCACTCTCCATCAGGGCTTCAGACGAAAACTAGATTATAACAAAGGTTTCGCTAAATTACTACAGGCCTTTTGCTTCCTTTGATCGTTAGCGAATTTTAGCACTTTTCTCATTATTTCTTGCGAATTCCCACGTGATCCAACTGGTTACACTAGTTGCAGTGCAGTGATCTATAATTCTCTTTATAGAACGCAAAGAAACCTGTGCAATTGTGGGTGAAATCAAATGTAATTACATTATAAGGAAAAGTTTTAATTTTTCTATTAAGGTCACTAGCGAGAGATAGATAGATAGATAGTCAGGGATTCGAAAACAGACACGCGATGATAGAGTAGCTGAAACTTCTAAGATTTATAGATTGGGAGCTCGATATGATATCTATTATGTGGCTCGCGCTGGAATTGAGTGGCTCTGGAGATTGGCTTATAATGATAGGGCTAGTAGAAGATTGCTCTCTTATACAGGATGATTCTTTGGGAAATGCCTCTGAATAATCTATATTTGATGGGTCTATCATTTTTTACTCGACTTTTTATAACCAAGATCCAGGGTGTTTAATTGATTTCCACAATATTTCCAATCAATCATAACTTATAAACCAGCCCATACATTTTTTTCTGTAAGCATATAGACGTAGGGGTCTATATGCACGACTTAGTCGCAAGGTATGATTGATGAATCTACCTATACACCTTGCACTTAAGCCACTAGATGGCTATGAAGGCTAGATCGTCCTTCTGCCCCCTCAGGGCTTCGACTTTTTTTTTATGTTTGGTTTGTATGTTCTTCGTCCACAGTGGTGAAGATTGGCATAATAAAAAAAGTCCTAATCCAGGGCTGGCCTTGATGTAGCTTTCGAGTCGAAACAACACCCTGTTTATCAATATTCTTAAATCCCAGTTACAAATAATTTTGAAAGAGCAGGAAAAAATAAGTAAATAGAATGAAGAGATTTTGTTTTTCATGTAAAATTTATTATCAAATCGCAATGCGCCTCTGGCTGAAAAGTCATCATCAGTGCTATAATCGTCAAGTATTTACAAAAAGGTCTGCACTGATGATGGCTTTTTAGGCGAAAGCGCTTTGCGATTCAATAATAAATTTTACGCGAAATACAAAATCTCTTCATTCTATTGATCAGTTACGTATATGCAGCCAGTACAGATCTTCACAAAACTAAGTAAGACTGCAGGATGTATTTGGTGTTTACAGGTACAATTTTTTTACCTATCACCTTCAATAAAATCTGAAGGTTTCAATAATGAGGAGACACAAAATTAAAACAAAAATTTATATATGTGTGGTTTGGAATGGTACTTTTCCATTTATAATCTATAATATCAACTATTTCTCATTCTCTTTATTTTTGAATCCCAATCTAATTGAAAACGAGAGGACATGTATGTATTTGGAACAAAGTATTATTATAAATGACTTGTATGTAGAAGAAAATTATCACAGAATTATGATAACATTTGTTTATTGGACTACATTCAAAACAACAATAATCATGGAAATGTTGAACAATGCCCATTCCGAAGAATGAATTACTCAATTTCAAACAATAATGTCGTTGCAACAAATTGAATCGAATTAACGTCAAAAACATACAACATGTTCATTATAAGGTATGTTCGTTTGTGTTGTTGTACTTGCTAAAGTTGATTTTGTTTCCATAGTTATCTCTGTTCATGGCATAATGTAAACAGAGAAAGTCATAAAAAAATCAAGTTCAGCAGGTAGAGCAAACACAAACGAACAGGCCTATCATTGAGTAAGCAATAACTGTTATCAACGAATACGTTACAAGACAAAACAGAAGTACAAAGTACAAACTCATCTAACTTCAAAATTGTAATCTAACATTAGCCAACTTGACAATTACGATTTGGAATATCAAACTCAAAGTGTACGTACAGACTGATTCATCCCATTATTATCATCATCAAGAATGCTCTATTTAAAAAAATAATTAGACGTGGATAAAGAAAATTCTGTTTTTTTTTTTCATTTTATGTTATGTTTAACATTTCAAATGTAGATTTGTGGCAACGTTATCATTGTATAAAACAATTTTTTTCGGGATGGGCATTGTTCTTCATGTTCTGTTGGTATTCGAAGTTAGTCATTGTCCTCTAGTTTTTCATTTAGGTTGGAATCCAAAAATAAGGAGAACAAGCAATAGTTGATGATTTTATGGATTGAAAATAAAAGAGTTCCATTTGGAGATGATGAATTTTTCTCTTAATTTTGTTCCACCACATTATTGAAACCTCTAGATTTGACTCAAATTAATAGGTGAAAAAGTTGTATGCGAGACACCAGATATATTCAGTCTCACTAATGTTCTCCTGATTTTTCAAATTTGTAAATGAAATTTCGAAATATTGATATGATTTTCCATCATGGCAATCGTCACCACTGTGGATAAAGAACATACCAACCAAACATCAAAAAATGTATAGGGTGATTCATAAATTAGGATCAATTGAAAAAATATGGAAAATCAATAAATCACTCTGTATCTTGGTTATAAAAAATGAATGACCCATAAAATATAGATTATTCAGATGCACCTCATTGTCCTCCTAACACCTCTGTTTGCGCATTCCCCAATGAATCACCCTGTACATATAGTGAATTGTAATCAAAACCAGCAGGTCATTCTCATTCATTCGTCTAGTTCAGCCTTCATGTGACCGAAGTTTCATTTAAATCGGGATGATTGTTATAAGAAGACATAGGGATCAACTGAAGATATCCTCATGCTCTTCACCCCCATGGACGAATATTTCCAGAGATACCAATAGCATGAAACGTTATTCGAATAACTATCATTATTCCAACCTGGTCTGAGTACTCTGTTCTGAGTTTTGATGTTCTAACGGAACATTCTCCACAGTACGCATGCCAAAATATACACGGTAAATTTATAGTTACCTTGCCATTCATATTGCGATTGGATAAACAAGATCTCGATAGACTCATTGCTGATCCTCAGGATTTCCCTTTCTCAAAACACTCAGCTGTCACGACAACCTGTCATTTCCTCCGAACAGATCACTCGCATACATTAGAATTTACACGCCCAAAAATAGTTGAACACGTCTCTTGAAGAGATTCTATATTAAACCTATACTTATTATCATCCCCCGTATTATGAGGTGTGAAGGAACTTCTCTAAGTTCCAGCTAATCTAGCTCTATATAAGTAAAAGCTCTATATTTGATGATATGTCTACTTCTACTGGTGATTCTGATGGGGTAAAAAACTACTGACTAAAACGATATCACAACAGGTAAGGTACGTATTAATTATTATATTGAACGACCGTTCAGCTCACTCTAGCTTTGACATATCGATATGAGTTCCACGTTATTGGTGTTTCTGATAAATTGAAGCTCTACACCAAGAGTTATATTTTACGGTTGATAGAAGTTAGCGCGATAGTAACAGGTGAATGTCGTAAGCACGTTGCCGTTAACATCGTTTGATAATTGAAGTTTTCGTTAGCCAACACATTCGGAAGCTCTAACTTGAATCGGAATCGTCTGGTTTCGACCTCGAAAAGTGTAATTATTGAAAATTTAGAGTTTATACAAATAATTGGAAGAACGACGAATGAAGAACCGACGTAGGAAAAGGCTCTGGGAAGACTGAGGACTGAGTGTTCACTGCAGTGGCACTAGAGACCGGGACACAGGCGTCCTATTGATCAAGGGCAGTTCGCGCCAAGAAACCGCGCATGCGCAGTACGCAGCGCCTGTTATCATGTCGCTTGCTGTCCTGCTTTGTCCTGCAGCGTCCCGCACTTACCTAGCGCAAGGATCCGCCAATTAACGCTCTGAATGTCGATGAGCTCATGATATATCCTGCAGCCTGAAGGTAAGTACATTCTCATGCGAATTCAGTGGAATTTTTTGGAATGAAAGAACGCGAATACAAGAACCAACAAAAGCACAAAAATACCTATAAATATATACAGTGTCTCAATATCATTTCGTAGAATTTTTCAACCACCTTCCTACAGATCAATCTCTTCAACACCATCATCGATTGAGAAACAAAACATCGACGTTTGAAGAGATGTTATCTTATGGCAAGCGTCTGAAAACAAAGTGCTTTTTTCTGGGTTAGTCTGGGAAGTAAGTTTTTTCCCGGACTATGCCTGGAAGAATCACTTCGTTGTTTCAGAATATTAAATTGATATGAGCAAAATTTGCTGAACATTTATTCTCCATTCACAGCAGTATACCATGCTCTGTTGGAAAAACACTACATAGGCAAAGTATTCGGTCTCGTTCGAGGCTATCAGCTACGCAGGAGTTGAAGGAGGGGCTAGCAGCTACGTAGGATTTGATGATTAGCGTCAAGAGATCACTGGCTGGCTGTAAACGGCGTGGCTCTCTTTCTCTCTTCCATAAAAAAGGATATCGCACGAGGTTATCTTCTATGTACGGACTAGACGTGAAAGTACGGTATGGTGAAAATGTACAAGCTGCATACACGTGACTGGTTATAATCAGGGGCGGATCCAGGGGGGGGGCCATGGGGCCATGGCCATGGGGTCATAGCCCCCCTCGAGCACCTCATGGACATGTAAAAATGTAGGTATTTTGAATAAATGAAAAAATTAGTGTATGTCTTTATAGCTAGAAACTTCGCAACAGCTTTAAGGAATTGCGAATTTGTAATTACACTCTGCTGTTTTGCAAATATATTTTCGATAACACTGCCACTTAGTAATTTGCTCCAAACAAAAAACAAGCTAACGATGTTGTAGTATCACTCTTCAGACGCTTCCAGATAAAAGGGATGATATTCTAAATACCTACTCTCTAAGTATTTCGAATGCAGCCAAACAGAAATTGAAAGAACTGAATGTTGAATTTTCGATGCCGAGAATAACAGGGAGAATGGTTCATAGACCAAATACGGTTTCCTCAGTGGATGACCATTACAGAATAACTGTTTTCATTCCAGTATTATTATTGATCTGAAAGAAGGAATATCAGAAAATGAATTGAATCTATATACAACCTTCACCTTTGTGTGCCATCTCAATAACTAAAAACAAAACAGATGAGGAAATTTATGAGGTATGGAAAATATACTTGAACAGTTTTGGGGCGAATAATGAAATGTCCTTCCAGAAGATCGTTTCTGAAATGTATATATGGAAGAAAATGAGGGATACTAAGCAAAATATACCAAACAATGGTATAACTGCCCTGAAGGAATGTGACAAACATTTATTTCCTAACATAAACATCCTTCTGGAACTTTTTTGTTGCCTACCTGTAAGTGTTGCATCTTCTGAAAGAAGTTTTTCAACACTCAGAAGGCTGAAAAATATTGGATAAGATCCAGAAGGATTACCGACAATTGGACGTGGTCAATTGGACGCACGAAAATTGGACGCGGATAATTGGACGCGGCGACAATTGGACGCGGCGACAATTGGACGCGGCGACAATTGGACGCGACGAAAATTGGACGCTTCGACAATTGAGCGCATGCGAAAATAAAAATAATTTTATAATTCCGATGAAATTTATTGCATGGAATATGCAGGGCTCATATCTATAATATAACAAATACCTAACCTAACCTAACTAACCTAAAATATTGTACTATATTCGTATCGTAAATTCATATTACGATATGAGATAGGAAAATAATTGTCAAACGAGGCCATAGGTATTTGTTATAATTATGGATATAAGCCCATCAGTATTTCATATTTTATACAATGAATTTCATTGGAATTATAAAATTATTTTTATTTACGCATGCGTCCAATTGTCGCCGCGTCCAATTGTCGCCGCGTCTAATTGACGCCGCGTCTAATTGTCGCCGCTACTTTACACCTCAACAGCTCCTCATGATCTACAAAGCGCAGATATGGCCTGTTCTAGAATACTGTTCCCACATATGGGGTTCAGCACCAAAACATACGCTGATGCTCTTAGATTCCATCCAGAGAAGAGCCATTCGCCTGGTGGGTGACGCCACACTCACTCACTCTTTGACATCATTGGAACACCGTAGAAAGGTCGGCGACCTTTCACTTTTCTATCGATACTTCCACGGGAAATGTTCTTCGGAAATCTCTGCAATCATCCCTTCACTAGCAATACCAATCAGACGAACTAGACAAGCCCAGTCAGCACATCCTTTCGTTGTCAACCTCGAAAGATGTCGAACAGCACTTTATCAAGACTCCTTCATCCATAGAACGGCTAGGCTCTGAAATTCATTGCCTGTGGAAGTATTCCCAACAACATATAATCTCCATAAATTCAAAAAAAACTCCAATACCTACCTCCTGTCCCTATCCTCCCTAGGAACGCACGATGTTCTTTGAACATTATAGGGATTCCCTTTCGTGCGCTCCAATCGATAAAAAAAAAATTGTCGCCGCGTCCAATTGTCGCCGCGTCCAATTGACTGCGACCAATAGTCGTGCGTCCAATTTTCCACGTCCAATTGACGCGACACCGATCCAGAATGGTCCGCCCCTGTGCAGCAGTCTGAATGTTGATGATATCATCCAAAGATAAGCTAGGCAGAAGAATAAAAGACTGGAATTTGTTTTCTTTATTTTATATATTTCTATTTTTGTCTGTTTCATTTGTTTTATTTTGAAGAGAAATATTTTCGTTCACTTTTGTACCCAAGTTTTTCATCAGAAATCTTTTTTCATTCACTTCTTTTATCCAATATGATTTATTACAGAATTCTACATACATTGATGGAACATTTTGTTACACCAGTAATTTCGATGTTTACTATGATCAGTTTTTTTAATGAAAAAGCATTTGTCTCATATAATTTCTCTTCCGCGCTAGCCTTATTGAGCCGTGACTTTCTATGGCCCCCCCCTCAAACATCGTCTGGATCCGCCCCTGGTTATAATCGAATGAAATGTAATTCGGTGTCCCAGTTGAGCAATTCTATAAATACTTGACGAGTGAGTAATTTACATGTTTCATATTTTCATCATGTCACTGAAAAACACTTCATAAGATCGAATACAGGGTGAGTCAAAACTGTGTACTGAGCTTTCATGTAGTGATAGTTCATTGAAAAATGTGTATAATTTGATGAATAAACTGATGGCCAAAAATGTATGTAGAGGGAGATATGATATGACATAGCCCTGATCGTGTTTCGGTCTTTCAACCCTCCTCAGTACGGCGAAAAAAGTACAAAAGATAGGCAACACTTGATGTAAGACGACACAACAAAGCTTCTCTCTGAATACCCAGAGACTTCTAACAGGAACCACAATTGTGCACAAGAGTCTCGAGATCATACCCGTGTGTTCACCGAACACGCTCGATCGTTACCTAAGCGGTGGGGAGACCGAGACGTAAGCAGGCAGTCATGATACAATGAGTGGGCAGGCAGCTTCTCTCATGCTGTCTTTGTTTTTGTAGTACGGGGTGGGCCACCAACAGTTCTCTTGATCACATTTCAACTTTTTTTTTTCGAATAAATAAGAAACATTTGATAGGCATCAAGTGATCTACTGCGACCTATCAGATAATGAAAGCGATGATTTGATTTGCAATAATTCGCTATGTCACAACGAGTCCTATACATGTGAATAGCGAACCACTCATCGAAAATCATGAAACTATATGTACATATTATATGCTTATGTTTTGTTGGCGAGGACGCTCGTTTTATTCAAATTATTTTCGATAATGTTCATCTGCTTCACTAGAAATTATTATTAGAAGTTATGTAGTACTTAGTAGTATAGTAGTAGCAGCTTTGTTATTCAAAATGGAACACCTTATATTTTATTACATTTTTCGATTCTTCTAATTGAGTTAAGATTTCGTTGATCAAGCTCAAGGTATATACCTATACGTAGAATGTGAAAAATCGAGATTTTTTTTGTATTGAAACTATACAATACCTATATTGATTTGTCAAAATGGCTTACATGTGTCCCTATCCTAACATTCTATTTACTATCTACTGATGCCATTTAATTGAAACAAATACAGGGTGGATCAGATTTCAGAATCATATAAAAGAAGTACTAGTATGCCTACTAAATATATATATATATATATTTGAAATAAATAAAACAAATATATCACATAAAAAAACACACTCTAATATTCAACATAAAATGAAATTCAATCCCACTAGATGTATTTAAAAATATAAACAGTGTATGCATGTCACTTCTATAATGAAATATCAACCCGTATATCTAACGTAACTGTTCAATTTTAAGGAGCGATAGATACATATATATATATACCAACTATGACCAAAGTGAGGTAATCTTCAGTGAAAAACACTGCTCTGGTCATGGACCCACCAACATTTCCGGAAAATGATATTAGGAGGCAATAAGATAGGTTGAAAATCACTTCGGATTCGAAATCAGGACGTAATAACCCTGTACCTCGAAAACGAAGCAAGTTTAGGACACATGTTTATATGACCTTTATTCATCATATTATATCACAAGGAATCATCCCTTGAATTATTTCGATGTTATTTAGATACACCCTGTATAGATCATTCTTCATCCCAATATATATAGTTATTCAACATTTTTCCCATAGCGAAGTTCAGCAAATACCGATGGCGAGAGCACTATGTTTATTGATTTGATGTCTACCTATAATA